AGCCATCAATATAGGATCACAACACCAGTTTGCTACCTTTTAACATGGGAGGAAACTGATTTACGCGGACGACTAGGGTCTTTCATCTCCCCCTGAACGAATAAATCTCTCCACCGTTTTGTCTATGAAAATCCCTACGGATTCTCATGTTCCCTCTATATCTGTAGTCTGTACCTCTATCTCTCCACACTGCGCCGCCACTAGCAAGCCTTCACGGTCATCGCCGTCGGAGACCTAGGCAGTGCTGCTGTAATACCTGATTGTTTGTACGTCTGCAGTCGAACGCCACGGTGAGCGGCGCCGCCTCGAACACGATGACCTGCGTCCTTCTGGTTGGTCAGGTTTCCGACGAGCACTACTCCCTGACTCCGGTTTAGATCATCCAGCCCGCAGGCTGTGCGAACCAGGCCGTGGTCGCCAAGGGCTACTGCAGAGTGCGCTGCGGCCTCCACAACGCCGACATCGGGTAGGCCTAAGCGTGGGTGGGTGGCACCGAGTGCGAGTGCACTAAGCCGCTCCCTTGACATCTGATCCCAAATCCTCCACCTCCTTGCCCTTTCCAATGGCGCATGGAGTTTTCTCAGGGGCAGGCCCGCCACGACATCATCGTCCACCTCCTGTATAGAGGATCACCCCACCTATGAATCGGAATTCATGGCTTTTATCTCCTCCGTGAATCCCATCCCCAGGTTTTCCCCAAATCATTTCGAATTTGCATACATATGATTCTAAAAGGCGAAATATTTTTTACATCTATGAAAAGTTTTTGTTTGTCGTCCTACTATCTATGCTTATTCTTCATCTTTGTTATCATACTTTTTACAATGTGGTTTGGGCCTAAATGCTATATCTACTCATGCTTAATACTAGTGACATTAACACGTGGACAAATCTTCTTTACAATTACATGATGCTTCCCGGTGAACCAATGCAATCTCATGCATATGTAAATGGTTGGAGAAATACTAGGGAAGAAAATTCCTACAACCACACTAGATTTGGTTTGTTACTTAACCACGTTCCATATTAAAACACTCAATTCCCTTTTCCTTAAGAAGGTGAGCACTTGCAATTCTCCTGGCAGTAGCAATTCAACAACTCGATCTAGGTGTGAGAGGCCTATTATATTTGTTTTGCACGTATTTGTTGAACGTCATCGTCATGTCCACTAAGAAGAAAGCCAAATTTTCAACACCAATTTGTGTTTATTTCTCAAATTTTAGATTGTAGGATCTTATATGACCGCCATGCAAAGCAAATGGGTTTCATTATTTCTCTTATTGTAAGTCATTGGTATGCATTGATCCACTACCCTCCTCAGTGTAAGTCACTACGGAATATTCTTCAAATCCTCTAAAAATTTGAAGATGGATCAATGTTAACTTTTCTACGCTGTAATGTGTCAATCTAATAAATATCACACATTACCGGTTTCCTATTTTTCATATCTCTGTAAATCTTTGCTGAATTTCCCGCCGCAAGGCGCGGGGCATCCTCTAGTTTCTTATAATTATGCACCGAGTGAGTGAGAGAAAATGAGGGTAGTGGCGAATGAATGAGACATGGGAGAATAGATCAACTTAGAGTTCGGGCATGAATTATATGGTAAGGGTGATGGTCAAGGGCCTGTTTGGTTTACAGCCTAAAGTTGGCACGCCTAACCTTAGTCGTGCCACAACATTTTAGGCATGTGTTTGGTTTGTTGCCACACTTGTGGCTTGCCACACTTTTCTAGCAACATGGTCCACATGTCATAGGCTCAATTTTTTGCCAAATCTTGCTACACTTGTGGTGGCCATTTTGTCAGCCACACTTTTTGTGGCAGCCACACTTTACCTGAGCTTAGTTGTGGCAAAGTTAGTCATGAACCAAAAGGCCCCAAATATCAAGCGGTCTAAAATTTGGGATTGTCGTCGAATTGATAAACAACCGGTTACTAATAGAACTTCAAAAAAATTACAGCATGGTGTTGTACCTCCATGTTTATCCTAAGAATTCCCTATACATTGTGTAAAATATGGCATATTGTCGAATGGAAATCTAGCAGAATACGCTTATGAATAAAGGTCTCGGACAAAATATGGCAATCATGCTTAGTATTTTTTTAGGATAAAGGAAGAGAGTTATCATTCTCATTTTTTACTTTTTTGGGTGGAGAGTTATCATTCTCATTGACACATTTATTTTACATGATTTAAGTTCTGCCGGCTTTTTCCAGGGGATTAAAGTATAGTTTCATTTTACATGATTCAAGTATAATTAGTTTTGTATAGAGAGAATAGTTTTTCTATAGAGAAAGTTACCATACAAAAAAGAGTTTTTTTTAGAACAGACAAAAAAAAGCTTGTATAGAGAGAAATCGTTATTTGGGCCAGCAGCCTTTTCCCATCGTTCTCTTTGGGCCACCGCTTTCCCTGGGAATCACTCCGGCCAGTGGGCCGAACAGTTCCCAGCCGTCTCTCCGGCCGCCCGCCGGCGGGCGGCGAGCTCGGACTCCCTCCGGCCGACCACCGCTGTCGCGCGAGATGGTAAGACCTGGATGCCGCGTACCTCCTGCGATCGGCTGCTCCTTCTGTATCTACTTGGGCCGCGTTTGGTCTCGTGGATTCGTTGTCCCTCCTGCAACTGCAGTGCCATTTCTCGGCAGATTCGTAGGTTCTCAGAAGGTCTAGCTTGGTTTAGTGGTTCGCGCATATGCGACCGTCGGCGCGGTCAGGCTGGCCGACCGGCGGCGGCGTGGCGCGGCAAGGCGCTGGGTCTGCCGTGAGGGGCAAAGCTGGCAGTGGCGCGTCAGCCACTCGCGGCAGGCGCGGAGTCGCGCGTGTAGGAATTCTGAATGTCTCTAGCATGTGACAGGGTAGAAATTCGGCTCCTCAAATGTGTTATTCCGTCTTAGGCTGTTGATATTGCCTCAAGATTTATGCTTCCTCTCAGCTTGGTCGTTATTATGGTAAGGGATTATGTTGGCACATTGATGCAACATGAATAATCGTGTAGGTAGTGACTTGTGCATCTGTAGGAGATGGATGACAAAAACTAGACCACAAGAGATGTAACTTTTCTCCCCTTTAGTACTTCCCTGAATTTAGCCCCGTGGGACTGGTTATACCCAGTTGGATCTGTGGAGTTCATGTCAGTTTCGTAGGGGTCTATGTGAAATGTGATATTCATGAAAAAGATTTTGACATTTTGTGATTTTGCAGTCTGCTTGTGATAATTATTAGTGACTCCTTTCCTGTATGTGATTATGTCTGGATTATAGGGTTCTAGTAAAACTATATTTACCCTTTTCTTGCTAAAAGAAGACTAATATTTCCAGACTAATATTCTCTGCTGCTTTTGCTCAACACCTCTTCTGTTTCTGAGCTCCGGACCACTACTGGAAATCGTGTCTTTGGTGCCCTTAAGGTATGTGAACATGTGATGCTTTTATGGTATCGGTCACTTGTTGTCTTGAGCTTATATTTTATTTGACACTACACCAGATTTATCAGAGTCCTCCTATTTGTTTTTTTATTTTGTTACAATTAATTTTCAGTAAATGGAAATCATGTATGCCATTCATCAACTTTGAGAGTAACACCGTTCTTGTTTACTTGTTTTCATGTTAGAATTGCTTGAAGGGATATCTTGCGAGCTATTTAGTGATGGTTCAGAACTGTATTTGTTTGGATAGTAGTATCCCTTTGAGATCTTCTAACGTTTGGTTTAATTGTTTTTTATGCCGCAGGGAGCTCTGGATGGTGGGCTTGACATTCCACAGTGACATAAGGTTTGCTGGTTTCCAGAAGGATGAGAAGTAGTTGGATGTGGAGATTCACCGCGATTACATCTATGGAGGTCATGTTTCTGACTACACGAGGTGGGGTTGAATGCAACGTGGCCTCCATGTAGTCAGCAGCACGGCGTAGAGCTATAATGTTTTTATTTTTGTTATTCTTAATTGTTAATTTCCTAGTGTTAATGTTGCAACTGTTCAATTCCTTTCAGTGCCAGATCTTAGGTATATCAAGTAGCATAGAGCAATGCATTCTATTGTTTGCTGAATGATGATTCTTGTTTTGACTTCTGTACAATTCATGTTCCAGTCACTTGCTGAGGAAGAACCTGAGAAGTACCAACAGCACTTCAGTCAGTACATCAAGAAAGGAACTGGGGCTGATGACACAGAAGGTTGTGCTGCCATTTTTGCCGATCCTTCCATGGCCAAGCTAACCAAGAAATCCCTGAAGGACACACAAGAGGTATACTAGTTGGCTGGTTATTGTTCTCTTGATGACCGATTATTGCACCGTTATGGGGTTGCAATTTAACCCGACCCTCTGCTGCAGGTACAAGCTTAAGAAGCTGACCTATCTGCAAAGGAAGGCCAGTCTGGCTGAACGCGCTCAACTCATCCGCTGGAGCTGCTGCTTATTCGAATGAGGACGGTGAGTGAAGAGTGTAGTCAACTGTAGTAGCATTGTCAGCATACTTTGAAACCTGTAGTTGCTATATGGCATCTACCAGTAGCTGTAGTGAAGATGCAAAGACATTTTTGTTTCAGCACTCTGATCAATGATCCTGTTTCTTCCAATTGAGTATCATGCTGGGGTTATGCATTGTGTCGATTATACAGCATGTTGTTGTTTAGATGTTGCTCTGAATTCGTCGATTGCTTCTTTTTTGTGTGTCTTCACATCTTGGATCACAAGGTCTAATCATTCTATGCTATGAACTGGTGATGTTAATTATATGTTCTCATTTGCTAGTTACTAATCAAACCTGTAGCTTTTTAGAGCCAAGCAAATACAGAAAGGCTGCTCACTAATTTGGCGAAACATTGAAAATGTCAAATTCAGAGGCTTTCACACATTATATTCTCTCATGGGAGCAGAGACAGATGAAATCTAGTTACAGTAGTTCTCTACTATAGAACAGAACACAGTTCTCTCCTATAGAACAGAACACAGTTCTCTACAACAGAACACAGTTCTCTACAACAAAACACAGACAAGTTACTACCTACTCCAGGCATAGACATGGCCGAGAACCATGATCACGGCGCAAATGAGCATCAGGACGACCATCAGGACAACATTTCCTGATGCCAAAGCAGAGAACACAAATGCGACCACCAATAGCGAAAATGCCGCGAAGCTGACCTTATCCAGAACACCACCGGCCGTCACGTCCGAGTTCTTCGTCGCCGTCAAGGTAAGTATAGCCCCCACCGAAGCTGCGGAGAATACTGCTCCAAACACGCAGCCGACGATGGGTTGGAGCGACGCCGGAATTTGAGTCGGAAGGTAGGGCAGAAGCGCCAGCGAGCCCGAGATTGAGATGGCATAAAGATACGATCCTTCTTGGCCATGGCGACGTTGCCCGGAGATGGAGAGCTCTCCCGCCTTGCGCGCCAGTGCCGCCGCCTCGGACTCTAGCTTCTTGGCCGTGGTGCCGTCCACCTCGTTGACTTTGTGGCCGGAGGCAGCCATGGTTAGAGCAGCAACTCCTAGCAGCACGTCGAACTGCGCCGCGCTTGTCGCCTTGGGGTCGGCGCGCTCGACGCTGGCGAGTGAGCGGACCGCCGTGGCCAGACGGGCCAGGGGATCGGCAATCCTCGAACTGCCTCCAATGCAGCGGGAGAAGTCTTCCAGACGCTCAATCATCCCCGCGAACTCAGCGTCGTTGTACGTCTTGGGGTTGCTCGATGCCGCCGCCGTCTTGTCGCCGCTGCTGGATGGGCTCGTGGAGTCCGCTTTCTTGAAGAAGGGTAGGAGGCTTGGAATCGGCAAGAACCTCCTGATGTGCGCCTTCGCATCTCCCGCCTTATTCTGCGCCTCCCTCTTTGCCCCTGATTGTTGGCGTTCGGAGGACGAACCATCCCCAATGCGCGCCAGAGGCGGAGGCGCCGATTCTTGGCGGTTGGAAGTGGAACGAGAACTGTCCCCAGTGCGCGCCGGAGACGGAGGCGTAGGCGGAGAGGGAGGGGAGACGGGAGGCATCTTTTCTCCGGGAAGAAGCGGTCGCTTGTCCATGGGAGAGTTCGCCGGAGGGGGGTTTGTGTTTCCGACGGGGAGGGAGGGCCGGAGGGGGATTTGTGTTTCCGACGGGGAGGGAGGACCGGAGGGGAATAGCTGGATGTTGAAGAAGAGGCAGCCTTTTTCTTGAGAGAGGGCGGGGGCCGGGCGGGGGGAGGGGAGGGGAATAGGTTTTTTTTTTAGGGGGTTGGGAGGGGAATAGCTTTTTTTGAGTAACGGGAGGGGAATAGCTGGATGGAGAATCCTATAAGGCCTTGTACAATGGGAGGTGCTTAGGGGAGGTGTTTAAAGAAATAAACCAGACTTTTTTTAAGCACCGGTGCCTATTTGTACATGATACTCCCTCCGTCCTTTGAAGAGTGTACTTCCAACTATGTTGGAATGTCAAACTTTTTTATGTTTGACCGTATTTATACAATGATGCACCAACATTTATGCCATCAATAGCATTAGATTCATGATAAAATATATTTTCATCATATACTTATTTCGTTTCGTAAACATTGATATTTTTTTGCACAAACTCGGTCAAGCATTGAGATAGTTTGACCCTCCAATAAAGTTGGAAGTACACTTTTTAAAGGACGGAGGGAGTAGACGCTTAACTAAGCGTCTCTCCTATAGAAATAGGCACCGGTGCTTCAGAAAAATCCGGTTTATTTTTCTAAGCATCTCTCTAAG